AACCTCTGCCTCCTGGGCTGAAGCAACCCTGGATGAATAGACATAAGACTGAGGCTGAAGTGCCAGCCCTGGATCCATTCCTATATGGCTATGCTATTGGGAGCAAGTTCATCTCTTTGGGGGTGAGCTCAGGGTACTCAGATCACCACTTTCCAGACTCTGGTGCTCTCTCTCGATGTCCCACCTGGACTGGGCACCCACCTTGTGGCTGAAGGCTGGGATCTGTGTGCAGTGGAGCTCGTGGCCCAGCTCCAGCCTGTAGGCACTGTCTGAGCCGCTCTCTGTCTGCAGCCTCCGGCTGGTGCTGCACTGACGCACTGGCTGCTTTGCCTGAGCGGTGAAGATCGATTAAGGGACTCCTGCCCTCCTCTGCCAGGCAGCCCTCCACCAGGGCTCCAAGAGGAGGAGGGCCCAGCCCAGCCTGGCCTCAGCCGTGTCCTCCCAGCCCTGTGCTCCGCTTCACCTGTCACTCCATTGGAACCTGCACATGGGGAGGTCTTAAGAGACGGATCAATATCCCTCAACAGACACACCTTTTTTTTTTAATGAGCAGATACTAAGCCCTACTTAGAGCCCACAGAATGACTAATGGAAAATCCTGTGATGACAGCCTATCTTTGCTCACAGAGCCACAGTCACAGGAAACAGGGCAGGCCCTGCCACCTCCACCTGCCCCGCAGCCAGGCGTGTGGTGCCTTACCCAGGAGGCTGTACTGGATCCTCGGGGAGTTGGTCCAGAGTCAGCCCCACTGCTGCAGCCGGCCAAGGGCATGCAGCCCCGCCAGCCCTGGCACGAAGAGCTCGGCACCCAGGGCGGCCACCTACCGTCCATCCTCCTCCTTCCTTTCCAGCCATGCTGCAGGGAGAGAGAGCAGGCAGGTGAAAGGGTCAGTCACCAGGGACCAACACCCCCAACCCCAGGCAAAGAGGGGACTCAGGATACCCCAGGGGTCTTGGTGTTGTAGGCTCCTTGAAGAGTCAACACCTGTGCCTGCTCAACCGGCCACCGACAGGCCTGGTCATGGCTCACTGCAGCCTTGACCTCCCAGGCTCAATGGATCCTCCGACCTCAGCCTCCCAAGTAGCTGGTACTACAGACATGTGCCACCACCTTGACTAATTTGTGTGTGTGTGTGTGTGTGTGTGTGTGTGTGTGTGTGTGTGTGTGTGCGTGTGTTGGTAGAAACAGGTGTGTCACTATATTGTCCAGGCTGGTCTTGAACTCCTGGGCTCAGGCAATCCTCCTGCCTTGGCTTCCCACAGTTCTGGGATTGTAGGCATTGGACACGGTGCTTGGCCCAAGAATAAAGTAGAATGAGGCCGGGCCCAGTGGCTTATGCCTCTAATCTTAGCACTTTCGGAGGCCAAGACCGGCAGATTTCCTGAGGTCAGGAGTTCGAGACCAGCCTGGCCAACATACTGAAACTCCGTCTCTACAGAAATACAAATACAAATAATAATAATAATAATAATATTAACCAGGTGTGGTGGTGGGCACCTCTAATCCCAGCTACTTGAGAGGCTGAGGCAGGAGAATCACTTGAACCCAGGAGACAGAGGCTGTGGTGAGCCAAGATTGCACCATTGCATCCAGTCCCAGCAACACTGTGATACTCTGTCTCAATAAAGAAAGAAAGAAAAAAAGAATGAAAATGAAATAGGACAAATGACAAAAGAATTAACCACACATCATGGGTTGTTGAGTAAATTTCACCTTCTGAAGCTTTTGCTTCTGTAACACTGAAGGTCATCTAGAACACACAGGTGGAAATGGGCCAGCTGTTATGACTCCCAAGCACCCACATGAGGTGGTCAACAGCCACCGCTTTAAGTGCCCCCAGCCCCAGCTCCTGTCCTTATCTTGGAATCTTTCAGAACACATAAGCGGCACACCCAGTTGTCACCCCCCTGGCTCTGGCCCAGGGCCAGCACCTGCTCAGCTTGTGTGTGTGTGTTTTAAATGCCCCGCGTATTTGAGGTCAAAATGTTACATGTGTTTCTTATCATGGGTGAGAATAAAAACAGCCCAAAATCTGCTATTTGAAGGTTTGTGGGGGCAGTTGGAGGTTTTGGGAGGTTCTGGGGGTTCACGCTGAGCCTGCGTCTGTCCTTAGATGGGATGTTGATATTGAGAGGCTGGGGTGATGAGGACCATCAGGAGGCATTTGGCCCACACCGTAGCCTGGTCATGGAGGAGATGGGGCAAAAGAGGTCTCATCTTCTACCTGTCATGTGGGCCTGATCACTCAGCAGATGGTTCAGCGATGTGGAGAGGCCAGCTTGCTGCCCGCCTGCCATGTGAGGTTCCCTGTAAAGATGACAGGGATGACCCCATCACCATTTTCATCTCCAGCTGCTCCTGGAACTGCTCGGCCTTGCCGACCATGGGTGGCTGCAGGTCACTCTTGCCCTGAAATGACAGGCTTGGCCAGCAAGCCCAGCCATGATCACACAAGCTGGGACCGAAGAGAGGACTGTCTCCCTCTGTCACCCAGGCTGGAGTGCAGTGCCAGGATCCTGGTTCACTGCAACCTTGGCCTCCCGGGTTCAAATGATTCTCCTGCCTTAGCCTTCCAAGTAGCTGGGATGACAGACACATACCACAGTGCCCAGCTAAATTTTCTATTTTTAGTAAAGACAGGGTTTTGCCATGTTGGCGAGGCTGGTCTCAAACTCCTGAGCACAAGCGATCCGCCCGCGTTGGCCTCCCAAAGTGCTGGGAATACAGGTGTAAACCACTATGCCCAGCCCTTCCCCAATTTTTTAAACTCTGGATTTCTCAAAATTAGAAACCTGTGTTATAAACCCAGACAGAAATACAAAGGACTTCTCTTCTCTCCTTGACAACCCCCTCCTTGGATCCGTCAGGAACTCAGTCGATCATTGCTGTGGAATGTGACTAGAGTCAACCCCATCTGCCACCTCCGCTGCACACCAGCTCCAGCCCTGGTCATAGAGCCTGTCTGACTGCAACATCCTCCTGGCTCTCCTGGCTCTCATCCCACCGCTGGCAACTGATCTCCACATGGTGACCAGACACGTCCAATGATGTCACAGTAGCATTTGAACCGTACAATCCAAAGTCCTTGAGGACCGTGAAGCCAGAATTTTGTTGGTCACTGGTGCAGGCACTGGCAGGTGAGCCACGGGGACAGCTCACTATACTCGAAGGCCCCACATAGGAGATCCTCTAGAAAAGCCATGAGCAACTACAAATGCCATGTTTGATAGCCACGCCAACCTGCAGACACACCCCACACACTCCTCTGACAGCCACTAGCTAGTCAGTTCACCCAAAATATGTCAAAACAATACTCGTTATTACCAGACCGTCACTACTTAATGCTGTGTTTCCCTGGTCCCCACCGACATGTGTGCAGATGTGTGTGTACGAATGTGTATGCATCTGTGTACAGATGGATCTGTACATGGATATGTGCAGATGTGTAGGTATACAGAGATACAGAAATACACAGATATGTGTGTACGAATGTGTATGGATGTGTGTGTATAGTGACATGTACATGGATGTGTGTATATGTAGACACGTGTATGAATGTGTGTGTATACAGAAGTGTGTGAGGACGTTGTGTAAAGACGTGTATATATACGGATGTGTGTATATGAATGTATGTGTACAGATATGTCTACATCTGGATGTAGATGCTCAAAGCTCTTCCTGCTGACAGGCACATCCTAGCGCCGGCTTTCTCCAGCGTGTATCAGAGGCTGCCCAGTGGTGTCAGAGCTTCCTCAGGGTGCACGTGAGCAAGGTGAGCACAGAATTTATCTCCCAAACCACAACACTTTGCAGTTAAAGAGAACACTAGTCACAAATGCGTCAGGTCAGCAGGCATAAACTGGGGATCTCCAGTCAACCCAGGACCCAACCCCCACACAGCAGGGCAGGGGGTGCCAAACAGAACACTTTCCACACCAACCTTAAATCCCACACACTTTAAGGTTGAACCCAAGCCTCGAATCCCTGGGCCCAGGAATTCGAGGTTGAACCCAATCTCTGACACTTTGTATTCATGAGCTCACCTGCCTCACTTTCCTCATCTTGTATGGGGTTACAAAGAGGACTTGAAGAAGGGGCCTCCTGTCTGCTGGAACAGGCTCCAGAAAGTTACAGAGCACCGGCTGTTACTGTAGCTGTGATGAGTCTGGGGCGGATGGAACTAGAATTTCTTCAAAGACAAAGAAACATTTCCAGGCTTCAGACAGCTCTACAGGGAGCAGCAGGAAGGTCTGAGGGGAGGTACAGGTAATCTGTGCTTGCATATTTAGCAAATAACAAGACATACAAGGGCCCCTGGGAGTTCTCTAAATGAGGCAGAAATCTCAGCCATCAGACAGGTGGGGCTTTAGGAGGAAGATGTCTCTCCCCTGACATGAGTCTTCTCCCTATCCAGGCTGACGGCACAGGTGGAAGTGGAGAGGGTATTTATCCAGCAAGACATCCAGCCCTGGCTTGAGATGCTCCACTCCAGCCCTCTGAGAAGACACTGGAAACTGAGGCAGAATCAGGAGATCTGCTGCTGAACATGTCCAGTGGTCATGCCTGGCAGGATCAAGTCTAAAGCTGCTATTTGTACCCTGACTGGAGTGCAGTGGTGCGATCTTGACTCACTGCAACCTCCACCTTCCAGATTCAAGCAATTCACCTGCCTCAGCCTCCTGAGAAGCTGGGCCTACAGGCATGCACCACCGCACCCAGCTATGTTTTGTATTTTTGGTAGAGACAGGGTTTCACCTTCTTGGACAGCCTGGTCCCAAATTCCTGACTTCGTGTGATCCTCCCACCTCGCCTCCCAACATTCATACCCTTTTTGAAGTCACCGATCTGCTTGAAAAGTGATAGAAGTTTTAAATCTTCTCCCCAGGATGGAGGAGACAGACACAAAACTTCAACACAATAACGAGGGCTTCAAGTGACTAAGGTCCATCCAGGTACCCTTGGATAAGAACCCTTGAAAAGCACCTACTAAGATGAAAATGAGCCGGGACAACATAGTAAGACCCATCTCCACAAAAAAGAAAAGAAAAGAAAAACAATGGAAGGGC